TCGTCTGCGATGCCTCCGATTACGCCATCGGGTGTGCATTGCTGCAGGACGACACGGCTGGACAGGAACGAGTCATCTCATTCCAGTCCAGGCAGCTCAAAGCCGCCGAGCGGAACTACCCTGTCCATGACAAGGAGCTCCTGGCAATGAAATATGCCCTTGTGAAGTTCCGTGTTCACCTTCTGGGCTCTACGCCCTTTGTGATCTACACAGACCACGCGTCCTTGAGGACGGCGACTAACTCGCCTCACCTCTCCCAACGGATGGCGAGGTGGCTGTCCTTCTTCGCGGAATATAACTTCCGCGTCGAGTACAAGCCGGGCAAGCTCAACGTGCTTGCGGACGCCCTCTCTAGGCGTCCCGACTATGAGTTGGCCCACATCACGCGGGTGACAACGGATCTATATGATCGGATACGCATGGCGTATCGGGACGATGAGGCTGTCGCGCCTATCGTCAAGTTCCTTAAGGCCGGAACGAGCGCGAAGTCCGACTGGCTCTCGTCGCGACAGCGCTCACGGCTCCACCGATATGAGTTGAAGGAGGGCCTCCTCTATTATCGGGTAGAGCCCACTGATCCTCCACGGGTGGTTGTACCCAACGACGAGGATCTGAAGTTCGACATCCTCGCGGAGGCGCATGACGCGCCCTCCAGCGGCCACTTGGGCCGCGAGAAGACCTTTCTGTCGGTCTCTCAGTCCTTCTGGTGGACCCACATGTACAAGTGGGTCGCCCGGTACGTCAAGACATGTGAAACATGTCAGCGGGTTAAACCCGCAGGGCACTCTTCGGCTCCACTACAGAGCCTGCCCGTACCGGCTGATTGTTGGAAGTCGATGAGTCTTGACTTCATCTTTGGGCTTCCCGCCGACGGACACGGCAACACCGGAATTTTGGTGTTCGTGTGTCGGCTGAGCAAGATGGTACATCTTGCTCCAGTTCCCGTCACTGTGACGGGCGAACAAACCGCAAGGTTGTTCGTCGATGGCGTGTTCCGCTATCACGGTCTCCCGGAGACGATTGTCTCGGACCGAGACCCGCGGTTCACTGCTGCGTTTTGGAAAACGCTGTTCCCTTTACTGGGAACTCGTCTGCAGATGTCCACTGCGGATCATCCACAGACAGACGGCCAAACAGAGCGCGTCAATCGAGTGCTCGAGGACACTCTGCGCAGTGTGTGCGCGGCAGCGCCACGTACGTGGTCGACGCAGCTTCCAGTTGTTGAGTTTGCGCTCAACAACGCGGTGCACGCGTCCACGGGGTTCACGCCGTTCTACTTGAACGGCTTCCGCCACCCCAGAGTGCCTCTCACTCTTCGAGGAAACACTGACTCCTCTATTCTAAGTGGGGGAGAGGCTCGGAAAGCCCTTTCCTCCCAGGTCTCGGATGTGAGGCCAGTTTCGCTGCGGAAACAGGTGGAATCCTTTATGGATACCAAGCTGAACATTGTCAGCAGGGTCCGCGATGCCATGGCAGCGGCCCAGGATAGACAAAAGGAGTACTCAGACAAACATGGAAGAGGAAACTTAAGTGTATTTAAAGTGGGGGACTTAGTGCTATTAGACACGAGGAACCTACCGCTAGACACTGTCAGCTCTGTCGGCAGCAACAAGCTGAAGCACCGCTTCATCGGACCTTTTGCAGTCCTGGCCAGACATGGTGCGTCGTACACCATCGACCTTCCAAAGTCAATGACGACGCACCCGACGTTCTATGTCGGACGTCTTAAGCGGTACTTTGACCCGCAGGGGGTTGCTGACTCGCAGACCCCCCTTGACCCAGCTCCTCGAAGCGAGGGCCGGTCACAGTCGTCGACGAGGGCGTCGGAGCAGGCACCCAAGCCTCGGTCGGGACGGCAAGGCTGCGGTCAAGACCGTACGCCGGAGGGGCTCCATACGAACGGACCCCGGCGCCATACGCCGAGTACGCTGAGTACGCCGGGTACGCACCATACGCGTACGTCTGGGAGTGTGCCGCAGGCGGCTCCGGACGTGGCAACAAAGCCTCGATCCGTCGGATCATGCGAAAGGCCTCGTCCAGATCGGACGAAGAGGTCCGGCGTTCACCTCGCAGGTGCAGGCTCGCGACCTCTCGCTCCACCAGGTCCAGGCGACCCGCAAGACGAGCGAGCTCGCCCTGATTCTCGGCCTGGGCGGCAGCATTACCGCCAGTCCCAAGGCCAAGTGCAATCTCAAGCACGAGGAGACGTTGACGGAGGCGGTCAACCTCAGGGTCCCGTGTCGGACCCGCAGTCGGAGCACTCGACGAGAGTGGCTCTCGGGAGGCGCGAGTACTCGTACTCGTACGAG